TAGGTTCTCTGAGAGACTTGATTAATAATGAGACGTCTCTCTATCTCCCATTCATTATGTTTATTATTCTCTTAATTAAGGGATTAAGAAACACAGGTGAAGAGAAAGAGATGGAGAAGAGAGAGATAGAGGAGATAAGATGAGACAGAGAAGAGATAAAGACAGAGATGAGAGAGACAATGAAGACCAAGAAAGCCACAGCTGAGAGACAGAAATTTCAAAGTTAGGCATGAGACACAAAGAACATATAGAGAGATAGAGAAGTCAAGATGAGAAATGAAAGACAGAAGAGAAATAGAGAAAGAAGAAAAAGTGAGAGACAGAACATAAAGAGAGATAGAGATCAAAGACAGAGAGACAGAGAACACAAATAGAGAGCGAAAACAGAGAGAGAGACAAGAGAGATGAGAGATACAGTGAATCATTATACAGACGCAAGATAAACTCTCAATTCACTACCACCATCTCTACCACTACTTATGGATCCAATGAGAAAAGTGTAAGTACTTAACAACTATTGAAGTATTAAACAACTTTGTCTACACACTCCTGAATTAAGTCAACTTTTTTCCTTGAATAATATAATCTGTGGTGATAAAATACGCTAATGTTTTTCTCGAGACAAAGAACTTATGATTAGTTTTGCACTTGGTAATAATGAGTGTTTAATGAAGACAAAAATAGTTACTTTTTTCTTTAAAATTGGTAATTTTTTTTAATTAGTTTGTGTGTGTGTGTGTGTGTGTGTTTGTTTTAATGGCTCTACACCCAACTATAATTAGCTATCCCTAAATTTTACCAACCACACACACACACGAAGCTGCAGTTCCTACGTCAAAAATCACACACTTCTCCCTCATTATCGTAGATGATTTTACTTATCTCGGAATAATGGAATATTCAACCAATCTCTCTCACACACACACACACAAACATATATATATAAATATATATATATATATATATATATATATATACATATTCAGAGCCTGTAATTCCAAGTCGTAAATCATTAGTAAAGAAATTCTAGCCGTTGTTAAACATGAGAGTTCTGTCAGGTGGAGAGTCGGCGTTGAATCGTACGTCCGCCAGATGTGTACAAAATAACCCTTGCTCGCTCCTGCCTGCCGTGGCCACGCTCAAGTTTACGGAACACGAAATGGATATAAAGTGTTCCTTAGTTTAGGTGCAAAGTGTTCCGTAGTGTGAAAACCAAAAAATAAAAGAATATAGAACATACAGTATATAATTTTATGGCTACAGTTAACAGAAATGGGGAGAGAATGAATGTGCCACGTATAAGGGACAGTGATGGAATGATGAAGGGGGAAGTAGGAGGAGGAAATAACGAGAGAAATACTAGGAGAGAAAGAAAGAGAGAGAGAGAGAGACAGAGAGAAAGAGAGAGAGACCATCATGCGAGGACACAGCAAACAAAAAATACAGAGAATGAGTAATGAAGTCATATTGTGGGTATAATGCTGATACGATGTGTTTTTGGAGACGGCGTGTGTGTGTGTGTGTGTGTGTGTGTGTGCGTTGTGTATGAGTGTGTGTGTGTGTGTGTGTGTTGTGTGTGGGTGTGTGTGTGTGTGCGTTGTGTATGAGTGTGTGTATGTGTGTGTTGTGTATGAGTGTGTGTATGTGTGCGTTGTGTATGAGTGTGTTGTGTATGAGTGTGTGTATGTGTGTGTTAGGCCATGTATTATGGTATTCATTTAAATATATATAATGATTAATTATTTACATGATCGTCTATGGCCAGTTATAATTTCTAGAAGAATACATAGAAGCTATAGCAGAAGTTATCGTATAAGTGAAATTATCATACTTTTACACACTCACCTAGCTACACACTATCTTCCTAACACACCTATTTCTTCTACACCTAACACCTAACCTAACACACTTCTTCTACCTACCTGCTCCACACACACACAACACTCCCACACCTCACACCAACACACACACACACAACACACCCCACACACACAAAACACACACACAACACACACACACACAACACTCCCCACCTCCCCACACACACACACACACACATACAACACTCCCACACACACACACACACATACAACACTCCCACACACACACACCCACATCCATTACATCCACACAGGTTCCGAAAGCAGTATCGTACCAACTCTGATCTCCTGATATGACCTCTTAAACCCTGACACAGCCCCTTAAGGAGACAGAGAAAGGCAGATAGGCAGAGAAAGTCAGATAACAAGAGAGACAGAGCATTACGGCGGCTTGACTCGTAAACTAAGATGGTTAGTGGCGCTCCTGCGTTAAAGGTGGCACCATATGATGTTATTATGGTGTCTGTTTGACTTCTCTTCCTCCTTTATCTTCGCCTCCTTCCTTCCTTTTCCTTATCTACCCTTTTTTTTCTCCTCCAACTCCTCCTTTTCGTTCCCATTCTTTTCCCTTTTCTCCTCTCCCTCCTTCTCCTCCTCCTAGCCTAACACCTTCAACATGACTCATTAATGAAATAATAATAATAATAATAATAATAATAATAATAAGTAGATCTGTCAATAACGGTTAAGTTAGGTTATTTTTAGGTTAATGTTAATTTGGTTAATTTTAAGGTGAAATAAGCTTGGGGTTCTAATCTTCTGGTGATCCTATGAGTATATTTTGCCATTTTTCCTCATGACATTTTTGCTCAGGTAAGATCGGGAGGAAATAATGAAGAGAGAGAGAGAGAGAAAGAGAGAGAGAGAGAGAGAGAGAGAGAGAGAGAGAGAGAGAGAGAGAGAGAGATATGAACAAAAAATATAGAAACAACACTGGTTCATATCATCAACTGCCTCACATCAAACACACAAAGTGAATCCTTAATCATGACTCTGATTCACAACGCTTCAGGTCAATGATTCAATGTGCATGTTGAGTCGTCGGGTTTGTTCATACTAACCCTAAAAATCATACGAAGCACTGGCGTTCGTTCATACTAACTCGAATTCACACGAAGCGATTCATGGGTCATATTCGACGTATTCGAGACAGTTTCATCGAGCACAATCATGAGTGTTAGAATAGTCAAGTCGCCTTTGTGGTGACCTCCAGCCCACGTGAGGAGATTTATACTCTCTAAGGCTGAAAAAAATGGTCTTTCACGTACCATGGTTTGTAGAGCAGCGAGTCATTACTGTGGTTGATGGTTCCTGTGTGTGTGTGTGTGTGTGTTTGTTTTCACATCTTGGTACACAGAAACACGCACACAAAAACAAGTTCAAACACTCACATACACGCACACCTACACACACACACACAAAACCCCACGCCTACACATAAAAGCGCCCACGCATACACACACACACACACACACACACAAAATCGAGTAAAACCCAAAACCCTTGAAAAAACAAACACAATAAAATCTAGCTTTCAAGGAATTAGCTTTTGCGGTAAAACTTTATTTCAGGGAGACAATTTCTGTTTAAGTTGAATTTTCTTTTGTTTACTTTTTTCTTTCTATTTTTAACAACTTTTTCTCCCCTCCAATTACCTGTATTTAATAAGAACAGAATAATTTGCTTGGATCATACGAAGCAAATTAGACGAGACAGAGTACATCACCTTATGATTAAACACCAAACGCCGTCAGGAGGGGAGTTAGGTTAGGTTAGGCTACGATAGCGTTTGGTTATGTTAGGTTTGGTTAAGTTAAATTATGTTAGATTAGGTTTATATTAATGTTAGGTTACGTTGGGTTAAGTTAGGTAAGGTTATAGTAGCGTTAGGTTATGTTATGTTTGGTTAAGTTAGAATTATGTTAGATTATATTAATGTTAGGTTACGTCGGATTAAGTTATGTTGGGTTATAGTAGCGTTAGGTTATGTTAGGTTTGGTTAGGTTAGAATTATGTTAGATTAGGTTATATTAATGTTAGGTTACGTTGAGTTAAGTTAGGTTAGGTTATAGTAGCGTTAGGTTATGTTAGGATTGGCTAAGTTAGAATTATGTTAGATTATATTAATGTTAGGTTACGTTGGGTTGGGTTAGGTTAGGTTAGCGTTATGGTGAGCAGAACATACATACAATAAGCTGGTGGTTTACTTCCCGGTGAACTAAACAAAAAGAGGTATTCGATTTCACCTTCATTCTCAGAGTATTTTAATTCGATAGTCATTACGGCTCGGGATACAAAATTTCACTCGCGCTTTAATACAAAGTTGGTGGCCGGAGAGACTCGTAGTGGCGACGGTAAGAGGTCACATTAAGAGATAAGACCTGACCATTCGCAATACCCGTGTTTATTTATTATTGTTGCTTCTTGTCTAAAATGGTAAGATATCAAGACTCAGATTATCTCAGTCAATGACACCCTAACTACCTTCACCTAATCTGAGTTCGCTGCCAGGGATCACGTCTAATACGCCATCATGTCTCAAGGTAATGTCAGCCAAAGTATCGACAACTTAAAATATCGTCAGCGCCGAGGGTCAGCGCGTCCGTCAGCCGCTCTAACACTCACCAATTTCTGGCGGTCCTGACCATTTGCATACAGAGGAGTCACCTCTCAACAAGTGCTTGTGTCACTACCTGCTAGTGTATTATTCTTAACTATATATATATATATATATATATATATATATATATATATATATATATATATATATATATATATATATATATATATATATATATATATATATCTTGATAAATCACGGGAAGATGGAAAAACAGGTACCTTAGCTTTCGTCTTTATTTAAGACAGCTAAGATATCAAAATTATCCACGTTGTCATTGTGGATCTACATAGAAATATATATATATATATATATATATATATCGAGGCATTTATTCGTTTATTCTTGTACCAGTGAGCAGTATTATACCTCCATCATGATCGTAGATTAAATTTGAATTTGTAGGATCATATATTATAACATATAAAAACAACTGCTAAAATGTTATATCGATAATTGACTTTTATAGTTTTATCGGAACTATTTACAGGAATACTTACCAGTGTGTGATGCTACACCAGCGGCTGTCACCCCTAAAAGTTTTTTCCTTTCTAGTTTTCAAAAAAACATGTACCCTTTCGATAAATTCATAGTTAAATACATTTTCTAACAATTGTTGCGATACATCTACAACTATTCACAAGCTACAAACATACACTGTATTATATTTTACACCAATATTTTTCATACGCCATAACGCGGTAGGTAAGTCACAGAGACCTTAATGCAAGGGGGCTCGGGACCACAGGCAACACGCTGCCTCAATGTCCTACCTCGACGCTCGCAGTTCGTGCGCGCGACTGAGAGTTCCACGGTACGCCTCTCCGCTCAAATCGACGCTGCCGGGAGAGGGGAAAAAGTTTTTACATCCGAGGCGACAAACATGAAATTTCTCGCCTTGTTCGTGTGTTTTATGGAGTTCGGATATAAATGGCTTCTGAAAGATGAGAACACACTTAATCACATTAATTATCTGTCTCCATTCACCTTCAAATGGTATCCTAACTCCAATATTTAATTCAATTTGTACGGTTATTGGTAGAATTAGAGCGCCTATTGGGAGGTGCGATCCACGAGAATCAAATTGCACCGTCCCGAATTATTTTACGATTCTTTCGAAATCCTTCCTTTGTGGCGTCTGTATGTCCTGAATACATATGGATATCACACACACACACACAAACACACACACACACACACATACACACACAGACAGACAGACAGACAGACAGACAGACACACACACACACACACACACACACAGACAGACAGACACACACACACACACAAACACACACAAGCAACACACACACACACACACAGACAGACAGACACACACACACACACACACACACACACACAGACAGACGAACACACACACACACACACACAGACACACACACACACAGACAGGCAGGCTTTACACACACACACACACACTTACTACACGTGATGTCCCTCATAACACCATCTGTGAGAATTACACATCATCAGGCCCCTCATAACACCATCTGTGAGGAATTACTACATCATCGGCCCCTCATTCTGCATCTGTGAGGGAATTAATACGCCATGTGATGCCCCTCAGAGCACTATCTGTGAGGGAATCATTCCACCACATCAGGCCCCTCATACACCATCTGTGAGGGAATTACTACATCACATCAGGCCCCTCATAACACCATCTGTGAGGGAATTACTACTTCATCAGGCCCCTCATACACCATCTGTGAGGGAACTACTACATCATCAGGCCCCTCGTAACACCATCTGTGAGGGAATTACTACACCACGTCAAGCCCCTCATAACACCACTTGTGAGGGAACTAGTACTCCACGTGATGCCCCTCATAACGCCATCTGTGAGGGAGTTACTACACTACGTGTCTGCTGTTCAACACCTCAGCTCACATGATCTACGTGTGTAAACATTAATCTGTATGTTCACTGTATATGTTCCTTCACCTTTCTCTAATTAAGGCTTTTGTTAAACCACCAATGTATGTAATAAGTCATTTATGTCCAATGTATATTTTCAGCCTTTGGAGCTTACCAAACTTTCAACAAGCAATTTATTATGTGTGTATTATACACACACACACACACACCACACACACACAGACACACACACACACACACACACACACACACACACACACACACACACACACACACACACACACACACACACACACCTTTCCTCCTACCGACTCTTCGTCCTCCGCAAAATTGCATCACTCTACTAAAATTTTATGGCTGTAAGTCACGGTCAATATGGTAATTTTCTGGAACCGGGTAAAAAACCGGGGTAACTAATTTTACGCACGATATGGCGAGAGGATTAGCGAGAGAGCGGACCGTATATAATGTTGTAGGATGTGAAGTTTATACCAGAAAGGAACCGAAAAATTAGTGAGGAGTTCCCTTGAGTGCGTGTGAGAAGGAGTTCCCCTGAGTGTATGAGTTCCTTAGAGTGTGTGAGTTCCTTTCGGTGTGTGTGAGTTCCCTTGAGTGCGTGTGCGAGTTCCCTTGAGTGTGTGTGAGAAGGAGTTCCTCTGAGTGTATGAGTTCCCTAAAGTGTGTGAGTTCCTTGAGTGTATGTGTGAGTTCCCTTGAGTGTATGAGTTCCCTAGAGTGTGTGAGTTCTTTTCGCTGTGTGTTAGGTTAGGTTAGGTACAAGTACAGATACAGGTAGGGTAGTTTTCTCGAAGATAAACGAACGCACCCCTACACCCCCCTAGGCCTCCATACACCCACCCAAGAAACCCCCCACTCCTTACAACACATACCCATACACTTACACCTACACACACACACACACACACCCCCACACCCCACCCCCATACACACACCCCACACCCCACACACCCCCCTACACACCCCCACACCCCACCCCACCACGCCACACACACACCCCACACACACACCACACACCCCCTACACCCCACACCCCTTACACCCCCACACCCCACCACTCACACACTAATAAAATAAGCAGTAGTCAATGAATTTATATACGAAATCTAAAATAAAGTGACGCCCTGTACACTGTATGCTTCATCCTGAGAGCTGACACGGCTGGTACTGATGGATGGCCGCACGGACAAGTGTAAATGCAATATGTCTCTTGAATATGCAGTGGGGGGAATAAAGGGCCAAGGTGAAGGTACCACTGGCATTCTCTGGCATGCTGAAGGCACCATTGGCACACGTTGGCATTCACTGGCATTAGTTCTATTGAGAAACGTGATTTACATTAATATTACCACCTAATGTATATAGTAATACCCTCTGGAATTTCAAGGAATATTATCGGGAATATCTAGGAATGTCATCGGATATATCTAGAAATGCCACCGGGAATATCTAGGAATGCCATCAGGAATATCTTGGAATGCCATCTAGTTTAACCGACAATTTAATAGGAACGGTGAGGTGAGACGAGAGGAAGATCCGTCACAGCCAAGACAACTTATGGAGGATATTACCGGATGTGGGAGGAGGAGGAGGAGGAGGAGGCGGGAGGAGGAGGCGGGTGGAGGAAGAGGCAGGAGGAAAAGGAGGGAAGAGAAGGAGAGAGGAGAAGGAGGGAGGAGAAGGAGGGAGGAGAAGGAGGGAGGAGAAGTACGAGAAGAGGTAGGAGGGAGGAAAAAAGAGATGGGAGGGCGAGGAGTCAAAAATAATAATAATAATAATAATAATAATAATAATAATAATAATAATAATAATAATAATAATAATAATAATAATCATGCTTTATCTCATACGAAGCGGATTAATGACCTGGATTTAAGGACCTGGATTAACGACCCGATTTAACGACCTGATTTAACGACCTGGATTTAACGACCTAGATTAACGACCTAGATTACCGACCCGGATTTAATAAAGCCTCTTATATAGAACGAGGGAATTTAATGTGTTGTTCCTTATGGTTCTGTACACACCTGGTCACCAGTACTTACCTGAGATAGGACGATGACAGGTGAGTAAAGTAATCTAATTCTAACTCTATTCTAATTCTACAGTAAGTCTTCTTTCTTTGTTGTATGCAAATTCAAAATTCCATTAAAACGAGTAAAGATGCCCAGTGTGTGCGTGTGTGTGTGTGTGTGTGTGTGTGTGTGTGTGTACCAATCCTTATACACTCAACACTAAAATCAATACACTCGCGGGTGCTTGTCAATAGTGGAACAGCCCTTGGGTGGACCAGCATCCTGCCAAGATGGTGGAGTAACACACTGGATGCTAAGGTTAAGAAACAGTAGATCAACACCTGGCCGGCCACACTGCATCATGACACGATAGCCCTAGCCCGAGAGAGAGAGAGAGAGAGAGAGAGAGAGAGAGAGAGAGAGAGAATATGACCCACTGTGAGACCATTTCCCCTCATAGGTAAAATAATATTTCACCATAATATATTTTCTTATGGGAGATCATAGTCGTGTTTCTTCCTTTATGAATAAAACAAAACACATTATTCACTTTATTCCGCCTCATCGAGTATTGACCTGTGATTGACCTGTGATTGACCTGTGATTGACCTGTGATTGACCTGTGACGATAATAAAATAAAACGTCCAAACGATACAATGAAAAGACATGTATAGTTCACATAAGCTTAAAAAAAACAAAGCCATATCGTGTAAATTGTCACCAGAGTTACATTGGACTCGACTTCATCAAGAAATATTCACTCGACACAGTTTAAGACAAAAATCAGCTTTAAGAGTCTCCCAGGTGTTAGCTGGCGTATGTATTGTTAATGTAAAATAACATCAAAATTTAGCAAAGACTCGGCTTTTAATAACATACATTTATTCTACATAATTTATAAGACAAAAGCTACTTAGTGAATCTTTATACATCATGGCCCGGGTAAAGGGTGGACATGGCCCGGGTGAGGGGTGGCAATGGCCCGGGTGAGGGGTGGACATGGCCCGGGTGAGGGGTGGCCATGGCCCGGGTAAAGGGTGGACATGGCCCGGGTAAAGGGTGGACATGGCCCGGGTGAGGGGTGGCCATGGCCCGGGTGAGGGGTGGCCATGGCCCGGGTGAGGGGTGGCCATGGCCCGGGTGAGGGGTGGCCATGGCCCGGGTAAGGGGTGACCAGCTTTATGTACTGCCGGGAGGGGGGAGAAAAAATCCATTAGCAGTACAGCTGGTAGTGACGGCGCCGGGGAGCGAAATCTCCTTCAGATTTATTATACCAGCAAGGAAGACCTTCATATACAGTACTGGGCTGGTTAGACCTATGAGGCATCCTAACCTAACCTAACCTAACCTAACCCCTACACTGACACACTATTGCATCAGCCTCGCCCACACTTTAGATCCAAATTTAGCGCGTGTAAGGATTTTTAATATTTGGGCTCAAGACGGGGTTTAAATTGTAACATCTCATACAATAAAGGATGCTAGGTAGAGCTTGTCAAGTTTTAACATAATTAACCTGTGCCCACCACGAAGGAAGATTTATAACCCACCATGAAGGAAGGTATATAACCCACCATGAAGGAAGATATATAACCCACCATGAAGGAAGATTTATAACCCACCATGAAGGAAGATATATAACCCACCATGAAGGAAGATATATAACCCACCATGAAGGAAGGTAATTATATAACCCACCATGAAGGAAGATATATAACCCACCATGAAGGAAGGTAATTATATAATCCACCATGAAGGAAGGTAATTATATAACCCACCATGAAGGTAATTATAGAACCCACCATGAAGGTAATTATATAACCCACCATAAAGGAAGATACTTATATAACCCA